AGTTTTGCTAGAGGTACAAGATTTAGTACAGGTTCATAGTGTCGAAGCGTCATTCAAGGATGGAAAAAAAATATAAAAGACAGATGGACAGGCTGCTGCAACATCGTGTAAGAAATTTGTGAGTTTTTCCCTGTATATGGGGAATAACTCTTAAGAATAGAGATGAAAAAAATTGCGGAGACGCCCTTGTAGAATAATTATAGACACTGTTCAACATTACTATAATTTATAAATAAATAAAAATAAGTGGTAAATAAATGAATAATATTTGTGAATTACTTAGAATATGTGGTTGCAAATAAAGTTGGACCATTTATAAATTATTTAAAAAGTTTGCCAAATGAATTATTAGCTCCGATTCAGATGAAAAATAATTTTTTAGTAGATTTTGATAATAATTGATAAAATGTAAGGTTGCAAAATTGTGATTCCCATAAAATATGTTATTAAAATTAATTATTCACTTTGATTTGAAAAAATGAGAAATGCTCGAATGAAGTGTGCTAGAGAAAACCTAGGCACTTTCATAAAATAGAAAATGTTTAATTTTATTATAATAGAAAAATTCATTTAATGCATCACAATTTCAAACTGAAAATAATTAAATCGTAAGTTTTACATATGTATCACTTCTTTCAACCTATTCGTTTAACGATCATGAAGGATGATTTGTTGGATAGCCACATCAGTATCTGTTGACAATGTGACAGAATTGAATATAATTGGCCTGGATTGAGAAAATTAAATTATAATGATTCGATTCATAAAATTTAACAATAGTCATTTTTTGAGCCACATTATTTTTATAAAAATATATTTTTGAATAGCGTATTGATACAAAATGTGTGGTTAAAAAATAAGAAAATTTTTTGAATTTGCATGTAATATTATTTTATTAAAGAATGTATCGCTGAAATAATGTCAAATTACTGTTCAATTTTTTTTAATTTTTTTAATTTTTTGAATTTTTTAAAAAAAAGGCCCAAACAGGACCATAATAACTTGATTGATATAAATTGAAGTACAATGATTCAATTAAAAATTGAGCTATTAGCCCACTAGAAAAGAACAAGTGTGCAGCCCATTATACAAATCAAACATGGGCCGTCTCATAAAAAAATCATAGACCAATAAGCCCACACTTCATCGAATACTAGCTATCTCAAATTGACTGGACCTGTTGGTACCAAACCTTATTGGGCCAAGTGTTATCCTTTCTTCATCTAATTTTCCTCGGGTTCAAATTTGGTAACATGAGTATTATCTCTGGTCGATCTTTTAGAAGTAGTAGTTCATAAAGATCGTCCGCTTTTAAATAATATAATTCAAAAAGATGTCAATTTGTTAAATGGATGTCTTTTCGGACCATGCTATGAGTACAAAATGGGTTACAAAATGTCCGTCCCTCCAATCGGCTACCGTCACTTGTTGATTTTGTAACCCATTTTGTACATGATTTAGTATAATTAGAATAATCCTTTTCCTTTTACATTTTTATCCCTACTTTTTCCCTCCCTCAAATGAGAAAATTATAATCGTTTAATTTTCAAACTTCTCAATTGGTTTGAGTTTGATGTAGCCAAGTTCAGTTGATTATAATTAAAATGGTTACATTTCACGTAGAACTTATCTATTTTTTCAACAATAACACATCGTATGCTTGAAGGTGTAATTGCATGCTAGTTGTTTGAGTCGCGATTCAACTTATTTTTGTGAATTTTGTGTTTTAGAAATAATTCCATGCTTGGATGAAATTTGCACAATAAAGATGGAAACGAAGAATGAGATGGATGCATTGAAGCGTGAAGGAAAGAAGCCAAACCAAAAAAGACAACACCTGAACGAGATAAAGGAAAAAAAGAGAAGCAAAAACGAGAGTCGAGAGTTAGCTAAGGGGAAATATCAGAAGTTCGAGATTCAAAAGAAATATGGCTTGCACAAGCGAGCACCAAAAGAAGAAAATGTTGTACATTCTAATGAGTTTTACACCTGAGAAACTAGAAGAACAATTTTACTTGTATCTACCAATTCAAAATGATCGATGAGTTTTGCACACGCGAAAATAAAAATGTAAATTTCTGTGTACTTGTGAGTAGGGAGTTATTGTCCCAAGCCAGTCAAACTCATATTTTTCGAGTGAAATTAGGGCATTAACGAGATTTGACTACCAAAGCATAAGAAGAAGACAACGACAAGGGTTTGGAAAGAAGGGTAAGAAAGAAGAAGAAGAAGAAGAGGCTACACTCGATGCTTCATGTATGAAATTCAACAACTTTGTCTTGCAATTAAGGAGAAAGAAAGATGATAGGAAAAATATAGTGAAAATTCGTATCGAAATTATCACCAAAATTGAAGAGCACCTAGAACCTCATTTTTCAAAGAATCATACAAAAATTGACACTTAGGTTGTGGCTAATAATCTCATTTCAAGACGGTTCAACCATACAAGAATCTTGGAATTCTTTATTTCAAGTAAGCATTTTGACTTAAAATTTTATGTTCAAGCATGCTTCGAATCCTTACACAGTAAGTGAAAAAGATTTTAAATTATTTTGAATGAATAAAATATTAAAATTCAGAGGAAGACTCCAAATCTTGCCGAGTGAATTGGCCGTAGACTCGTTTTCCATTTGTGTTCTTAAAACAGAACAAAAGAAGGAAGAAAACAATGCAACGGTGAAAAGCAATTATAGCCTGTCCACAAGACACCAACCGATCAACTCAATATGCCAAAATTGGACAATATATTGGTCGTATTATACGTATAAAGATGTTAAAATGAATGGATTGATTCACACTGAGTCACGTACATTTATTCACAGTTTAGATTCATAGAGGACGTGAACGGTGAACCGACCGATTTAAAATATATAGTGAGCCTAGCTCGAATCATTTTCCAAATATATGGGTTAGACCAACCCCGAACCCACCAATATTGTACGCTAATCAAGCTAACTAGGCCAACCGGATAGATATTCTCATCAATACTTGCAAGTTGCACTATTAAACTGCTTGTAAAATCAATAGACGCATTTGAACTTACTATCAGTAGCGTAATTTGTTATTCAAATGGGAAAAAATCATTTGTACCGAAAATGTTTGTACAAAAGTCATACAGATACTTACATGAAATGTGGGATCCATGTAAATTAAATATTGTCAAAAAAATCGGACTCCACATGTTTGTGTGTATTCTGGAGGGCTTCTATGTGAAGCCCTCCTTCTGTACACACAGTGTAGTCCTATTCAAATCCATCTTTATTCGTCGCATAGAGTTGAAATATCTAACTTGACGTCACTATCATAATTTGGCAGACCAACTTCTCGCAGTATTCGAAGCAAGTTGGGCTGATTTCGATTCCAATTTTTAATGGATTCAATTATTCTAGACTTGAGTCGCCTATCCATTTTTACAACACTAGTTCAGCTTATCAAATATGTTGTTTAAGGTCAATCAATCTCTCCTGGTCTCTATCGTAATGGTCTAGAGGGTGAGATGTAAAATAGAAGTTTATTATGTGAATAAGAGGAAGTTTTATCCTATCAGAGTTTAATACTATTATATTTACAGTTCACTTCATTATATCAGTCACCACATTTTTAAAAATATTAGAATTTGATTAATTTTCTAGCCAACTACTTTCTACAATTAGGGAGAAACCTGAGCATCATGGCGCTGGGGAAAATTGCATCAAGCGAATATTGAATGAGCGCAACGAAATTGAAAAAAAAGGATAAAAACGAGTTGGAAAGAAAAAAATTCACAAATTAATAAAGACTATTAATTCAAAACACAAGTGTTTGGGTACTCTCTCAATTTCGGCTTAAGATTTGACGCAAACCTATGAGTTAATTTAATCAATGATCACTGAACTTTAATATAAATTACTACTTACTCATCTAAAATTTAAAAAAGTTACTCATTGGTAATTGAATATTGCTATAAGTTATTATTTGCTCATTGAAATTTAAAAGATTACTCATTCTTACTCAAATTTGAATAAAGTTACTCATTCACTACTCATTATATTCATCAGCTCACGTGGACAAAAAATTAATGTGACAAATGAAAGATCCTACGTGGCACTGATTGAGTTTTAAAAAATAATGTGGAC